GTAACGTTGTTAATTATCTAATAAAAAGTCCCCGGCCAAGAGGTCACCTTAACACCGAAAAAAAAAAAAAAAAAAAAGTTTATACCTACTAAATTATATATAGTATATAGTTACAATATTGGATCTTTTTATTACTTTATATTCAATATGAATATATTGTTTAATAGTATGAGATATTTTGAAAAATAAAAGTAAAAGCATTATTATTATTTATTATAAATTATACTTATTCTTGTAAATAAATAAAAACTTACTATAGTATAATATGAGTTAATGGTAGTCTTTGCTTTGTCAGGTTCCAAGAATAACTATTTATAAATCTCAATATTATATCAATCAAACCAATAAGCTACAATTGTTATTAACCCACTATTATAATAATGTGGTCTATTATCTAAATTATCTTTATCTATTTTAGTTTTTTTTCAATATTGTTAAACATAGCTTCAAAACAAGATGCTGTGAACTAAGCATTTTATTTTGTATCTGTAAACTAGTAGTTATAAGCACTAATATTTAAATTTATACTATTATTCTTTATACTATTATCTTCTATACTATCATCCATTATACTATTATCTACTATTCTATTATCCTCTACACTATTAATATTCTCTTTAGTTATTATCAAGATTGTATGTAGTATCTAATTTCTTTTACCAAAAAACTCTTGTTTAGTTTTTTATACAGTTTTTGAAAGGATTTATATTTTATAATCTATGATTATAATAGCACTATCTGAATTAAGGCTTGTTAATATTAATTTGTATTATGTATTCAAATAATGTTTTTAGATATAGTATACAAAAAAGTATTTTAGTTTTTCTTGTATTTCTAATAATTAGAAATGATATATATTTCTAATATAATTTTTTATAAAATAAAAAAAAATAGAAAATTTCAAACAATTTTAATAGTACAAATTATGTATATTTAAATATTTTCTAAAAGCAAAAGGTAAACAGTAATCAATACAATCATTATATAATATTTTCTTATCTAATTCAACTTTTAAATAGTGTTTAAAATTTCGGTTTAAGTAGTGGTATAAGTTCTCAATTTGTGATATAATAGGATCCTTTTATATATCAATAATTTATTTCATTTAATTAGAGTTGAATAAGTTAATATAACTCAAATTTTTTTTAATATTTTTAATTTTATTTTATTTTATTTTATATTTTATTTTTTATTTTTATTTTATTTTTTATTTTTATTTATTTATTTATTTTTTATTATTTTTTAAGTTTTTTTCTTTTTTTTGATAGATTACCAATATTTCTTTTATTGTAAATACTTGTTGTACAAGAGCTACCAAACTTTCAAAGTCTTCAAACCTATATTTATTATAAATAATGCAGAGTTATTCTAAATTTTCACAATATCAAATATGACTATAGTTAGCTAATCTAGATATAAAAAAAGTTTGACATATTTTATTTGGATACTCTTCATTGAATTTTATCTATAGAGCTTGTTTTTAATCTTGTATATATAAGATAAAAATTTTAATTTTTGTATTGATTTGATAAGGACTTTGTACAATATTATTTTTATCTTGAAAAAATGCTAAAAATTGTTTTTTTTTTTAATTTCAGCCATTCTTTCAATATATTTTTTTGGTTTTTTAATTTATGGTATGCCAGATTCATATAGGGTCTTTGTCTTGAAAATCACGTTATGGGACATAGTAAATTATATGTTCCATAATGTGATTTTCAAGGCAAAGACCCCATATAACTAAAAATATTTTAATACCAAATATATTGTATTTATATTTATCTAGTTATAATATTGTAAGTGATTTGTTAGTATAGTCAAATCTTCCTAAATGCAATTTATAAGAGCCAGATTTTTAATAATCAAAAAAATGAAGCTGGATTAAAATTAAAGATTGCATTTAGAAAGATTGAATTTAGAGAAGTTTAATTGCAATTATTATACTAATTTCTAAATTAATCTGAAGTTTTTCATGTAATTGCAAATATTTAAATTGGTTTGCTATAATTGATAAGTTTTGTGTTTTTTTATTTTCTCTATGTTTATTAGATATCAAGGCACTTCAAAAGCTATTCTAGAAAATATCTTTATGCTTATAATTAGTAATTATATTATTTAAACCCTCCAAATCTTCTAAATTAGTTTGTAAATATCCAAGTTTATAAGTATTTTCAAATTTGTTTTGTTAGCAACTAGATTATCTAATTGACTCCAAAATTTTTTTCTATTATTAATTATAGGATATAGTGTTATATTAGTGCATCATATGCTTGTAATATTGCTCTCCAAGCATGGAATTCTGTCTTATTTAATTCGTAAGTAGATGAATAAATTTTACTTAGTGCATTATGAAATTTAATTATAGAATTTTCTTGGCATATTTAGGTAATAAACAAATTTTGCTAATTAACTAAAGGGTTAGTTGCAATCTTTCATTTTTTTATTTGTTGGTTGAATATAATATTCATTTTATGAAAATCATTCCAATCCCATGAAGTACAAGTTAGATTAGAATTAGTTGAATTTTCTTGAATTGTATGTTGGACCAAGGGGTGATTAAAACTATAAAGTGTTGCATCTAGTGTTCCAACCCATCTCAAAAATCTCTACCTGGGTCACTTGCGGGTGACCCACTCGGGTGACCCGGGTGAGTTCTGATAATAAAAAAATTCTGCTACGGATCACTCGTGGGTGAGTCACCAAAAATCTTGTATAAATTAATTGATCCAAGACTTCTAAAAATCTTGATTTGGTAAAATTCAAGGCATTCGGGTCTTGTTGCAGTGCAACTGAAGATAAGTATCTTACTTGAATTTGGCTTTGAATAGTTATTTTCAGCACTTTGGTTCAATACTAATTCTCTAATTGGCCTCAATCGTTAATGATCACGGGGTAGGCAGTATCAAATAATAACGTTAAATCAATTGTATAAAAGGGGTTTGATCAACTAATCGATACTTACTTTTTATTAAAGATGACAATACTAATACGGCGAAATCACAAAGACAAAGGACTTTTTTTAGACAATTTATTTTTAACGAATTATTATTTTAAAGGGTATAACTACTGAAGTTAATACTTCTAATTGAAATTCAAAGATTAAAACTATACATAGATATCAAAACAATAAAATAAATTCACGGAATACACATGCAAAAGAAACGCGATTATGTATGCGAAATCAGTCACCAGGACTTGCTTTATTGATATAAAAAATAAATTACAAGGTAAATAAGATTTATTCGGTACAGTTGAAAAGTCTTCTTTTTGCCGGTTTGATGTAGCTACCGGTGCATGATAGAATAAAGATAAGTTAGTAATTAAACTATTTCGCAAAACTAATAAAGTTTCTATAAATCTAGATACAAATCTTCATCTGAAAATTGTACAGAAATTTCAACGGGTTGAAGATGACAGTATCTATGTACCTTATCTCGAACAAGAACATTCAAGTGAAACATATTCCCTGCAACTGTTTGTTAGTAACTGTGTTTTTTTTTTTATCTTACACGTCAAAATTCAGACGAAGCTTTTTTTTTCACCTATTTCAAAAAGTCGTGTATAAGCTAACTTCTCTAAATAAGAGATTAATTTTGCAGTTAACTTTATAGCACTCTTTTGAAGCTAGAAATGGCTTGTATAATTTATTGATTTACATCCAGCCAATCAAAAAATTTTAGCTTTCCGATTGATTAGTTTCTTTTTGGGTTTGTGTGATCTAAAAAATTCCAGACGATTTTTTCTAGCAATAGGTGTTACTATAAATTATTTCATTTGCATCCTTAACGTTGTAACTTAAAATTTTTTGGTTCAAAATTGAGTTTACAAATTTACATTTTTTTCATACTGATATATACCAACAGCGAATTTCAAAAAACTCAAACTTTGTGTCTGCCATTATCTGATTATATAATTTCTTGTTATTCAAATTAACCTAAATTGATAATATCCGCAGTCAAGAAAAATGGCTAACGGGGATACAGAACGCCCAGGTTCCCCAAGCAAACGTTGTCCAAGTTCCATAGTAAACATGTGGATTCAGCTTGAAGGTGCAAAGGATCCTGAAGAGTTGTTTGCTGATATAACTCGTGTCAAAAATTTGAGCGGGTTCAAAAAAATTCTCATCGAACAGTTCAAAGAATTAAAAGGCGCAGAGTTGCGAGATATTGAAATCCTAGATAGTGATAAAGAAAAATTTCACCAGGCCGCGACTTGCAGGAACTAGCTAAAAAAGTAACTGACGAAAGCCACTCATTATTCGTTATCCGTTATCGAATTCTGTTAGTAAGTAAAAATAAACGCTTTTCTAAATTTTATGATATCTACTACTTATTTATCTTTACAGATATTGTGAGACTTAGATACATACTCAATAAGGAGGAATGTATAACTCCACATTCTAGTGGTTCGTTTAATTTGTTACAAAAAGAGGCCAAGGCACTGTTTGGGGATTTAAATGAGTGTGAAACCAGTGACATTTATTTTGAGGACCCTAAGTCGAATAATATAATTAATAGCGCATATTATTTCAATATCCTAGTAGAGGAAACTAATGATGGAAAAAACGTGACTTAGGCGATCTGAAAGTTCGAATCAAGAACAGAAAGGCATATAGTGAATGGAAACTCGGTGAAGTTTTACGAGATATTTATCATTATAAAAGCGGTATTCTTGATGCAGAGGTAAAAAAATTTGATATGGAGTGTCTTCCATTATCACCCCACCACTTAGCGATAAAGAACTAGACAAACTTGTCGAACAGCTTAAGGATAAAAAAAATGTATTTGAGAAAGTTAACATCAACGAAGCCACAACGCGTGAGTTCATTTCGGTCATCTTGGTCAATGCAGTCAATTATGTCAAAGAAAACAATGACGCCACAGCAAAATTAATGGTAGAAGTTAATCTTAAGGGAAGTCATGGGTACGGTCCTTTAGATTACGCAGTTTTATTACGTCAACATTTTATTTTAATAACGGAGGCAAAACCATTGGAAACCGAAAAAGGCATCGCTCAAAATTTAGCACAGATACATAGTACGGCCGAGGTAACGTTTTGGTTTAATTTGGCCAGAATCTTTCCTTTTCTTTGGATGGAGGAGTTAATATTTTTTCTCAATATTCAAATGTAAAAAAAACGAAAAATTGATCAAACAGATCTTGTGATAATGCCAATAATTGGTGTTGTAACGACTGGAATGGCATGGCTCTTCATCCGCTATACTGGTCCAGTTGAATCCGCACAACTTGAGATATCTGATGAATTTTATTGTAGTTTTACAGGCAATATGGAGGATGCAAGAAGGGTAGCTTCCTATGTTGTACGACTGCTACAATCACAAGTTAAACAATTAGAGACAAGTTCAAAATGCCTATGTAATGTTCAAAAGTAATTAAGATAGGATAGAAAATATGGCCGAAAAATATTAATAAAGCAAAATGTTTAGCTTTTTTTAAACAGTGGTAAGTTTGTGCATCGGAAAAAAATAGAATATTGTTAACTCATATTTGCTATTAGATTAGCCGATCTACACTCGAAAAACTTGCGTTCATAATCGTATAGATCTTTGTTACGTGGACAAATCATGTATAACTATAACGATAAATTTTGTTTAAACTATTGTTATCGTCGTTATCGTTATTATCAAATTGTTAATTCTGATTTATTTTTATTTAATTATTCGAGACTCAAAGCCCTAAGAAAATTAACACATTCACATCGCTTATATACTCCATCCGCTAATTTTTTGCATGTCTTACAATATAGGTGTGAATGGTGATTGCATTTGTCACAAATATTACACTCGTGCTTTCACTCTTTAAATATATGCCACTTTTCGATATAATTTTGTTTGAGTACGTATGATATTCGGATCATTATTATATATTAATGGATAGGATTTAGGTGTACTAAGCATGGTGGACAAGTTCGAATTTGGAAATGATCGGCAATTGAATAAAAATTTTTTTTGAACTTTTTATATGCGTTAAAGTACGCTTTATTTTTGTGATTTTTCAAATCCTACCAAATAAAAACAAAGTAGCGAAAAAAGCACTCAAAAATCTACATTTTATTAAAAATAATCCAAAATAATCCCAAAATTAAAGAAGTTTTTTTAGAATCAAATTTTATATGAGATCGAAAATATCTTGTTATCCAGTAGGTAGGATTTAATAATTTTTATACCATTAGATTCGTC